AAAGTTGTTCTCATCCAGGCACCAGTGGACTGCAGTTTCGACCTTGCATCGGTCTTATCAACACCCTCAGAGGGAGTCGAACCTCGACAGTGCAAGATGGGAGCTTGACACGCTAATCACTCGACTACACTACCACGTCAGCTCAACTCATATCATTGTGGGAAAATTCTTCTTCTACCAGGCCTTCATCACCTTAAACGAAATTGGGTGAATACATCTCATATTACTGATTTATTGGTAGTCAAGAAAACAATACTTAATTCGAAAAATAAAATATTGTAGTCGATTGTTATAGCAGATATACGTTTGCTTCATCGACAATTCCACTAAAAGAATATGATTTGGCAAAAAAAGGCCTGGCCTTCCTTGAAAATTCACATTTGCCCTGTGACCAAAAAGGTGCTCGTGGCAATGTAGCCGAGTGCTTAGCGTGTCAAGCTCCCAGCCTGCACTGTCGCGGTTCCACTGCCACTGAGGGTGTTGATAAGACCGATGCGAAGTCGAAACTGCAGTCCACTGGTGCCTAGATTAGAACAAATTTTGGGAAAGCAAAGCTATGCGCAATTCAATGGAAACGTCAGCTCAACTCATATCAGTGTGGGCAAATTCTTCTTCTACCAGTCCTTCATCACCTTAAACGAAATTGGGTGAATACATCTTGTATAATATTACTTTTTAATCTTTTAGTGCACTACTGGTTAGGATATGCCGCGTACCATAATAAATTAACTGCAAGAAGATGGAGAAAATCTTTGAGATTTTGATTAATATTGTTCCGTCATGTATTCTAAAATTTCCTCATTATTAGAATGCGATTGCATCTTTAAATTTGCTTTTGATGCGAGTAGTTTATGATACTGTTAGTACTTCCTGAATAATAACTTATTCAGTCTAGTTTTGGTTCGACCTTATTTTCGCAACTTGGTCGCAGTTCATTAAGACCTTGTGGAACGTACCTGATCCCGTCTCCTCTGTCATAGTATTCGTGATTTTCAGTATTTTACCATTGGCTGGGTATCACGATGCTATGGTAGGCCTTACGATGCCATTAAATTCAACTAAATTAGCCTTGTCTCCATAGGATACCTCTTACTCGCTTCATGTACATATCTTGATATTTAATATTTAATAATTATTGTGGTCTCCAAAAGTCGATGTAAATATTAAATTTAATGATCTCTCAAAATTATTTATTACATTGCATCATTTAGACACTCTAGATAAATGCAAAAGTTACCTTCCAAAAGGACTTGGGATGAAGCATAAGTCATTTATATCGCTATGCCATTCCATTGTGTGCATAGGGCTGACTATAGACAGCACACGATAATCACATTGTCTATTGATCCATTTATGTGGAGATTGACCCTTATACCTGATAAAACTATAATAGAATTTGTAAACTAAGTTCATAATAAAAATTTGCTCCAACAGAATTTTGACAATCTCGACTATCTTATTATGTATTACTATTAGCCTTCTTATTGCCATCGGACGTGTTTTCATTCAAAAACGGCTTATATGTATTAAAAACCCAATTGGCTTAATTAAATTCATGATATATTCTATCTATTGTTTGACCCTAACTAGCTTGCAATAATATTTTGATTTAAAAGTCAAAAATTTTGGTATTATTTAGTGAATTTAAAGACAGGACTAAATCTATATAGCATGTACTCATATGGTCCAAAGAAGCTTTATTTTTGCTGACCTTGGATTCTATGCCATGTATGTGTATGTGTACATCAGGACTATTCATCATGTCTACAAGTTAAGGTCATATTCTGATCTAAACTGACCGCACAAATACATAAACAAAGACTTCCCAGTTCTTTAGCGTTTACAACAGCGGTTGAATTGGCATCAGCTACATTATTATGGCTACTAAAGCATTTTAGTTATTTATGTTACCTTATTTTATGTTCTGGTTCTCGAATAGCACTAGAGACACTCCGCTTGGAATATGTCAATTTTGGAGTGTAGCCAGTTAACAGTCCGATGAATTAAGAAATCATGAAAACTACGACTTAGGATACAATACAACTGACATTCTTCGTCGTCTCCCCAACTCCACCACTTTTCGAATTCGAAGCCAAACAAATTGGAAGCAGTGAAAAATATCTGCTGTTAAAATTAATTCTATATAATCCTGAGCTTGATATATAAAATAGGGAAGATAAAACCCAAATGTATACAGCTGTACTTTTGGGCCTATCCTCAGCTTTATACAGCTTATTGAGGCATCACCTAGTTTATATTTAAAAAGGTTTATAAAATATCTGTTCGATTTTACATTTCGCTCATAAAGTATTTATTATTAATCCACAACATCGACCCATTATTTAGGTATGTTCAAATTAGTCTGCTTTTCTGTATTTATTTGCTAAAGTGGCTATAAGTTCACTGACTACTTTAGCTCGCATTCCCCAAAAATACCATTAACTGAGGAAAGTGTTGAAGTTGTGATGAAGTTTTCTTATCCTTTTTCATTTACATGGTACCGTAGACTTTATTACACGTTTAAATTTCTGCTCAACTTTTTTTCCCTTTGCCAAAATGTTTATTCCCATTATTAATACCATGATTTGAAATCTTTTGTTTTAGTTCTGCCATTTTTTATTCCGTATTTTATCCTTGTCCTGATCCCTCTCATGCGTTTCATTTTGGATCACACCCTTGCAATAAAATTAATATCTTTTTTAACACACCAACTCAAGCAAGCGACTATATGGAATGGGCGTATGGCGACTACAGTAAAAGGAGTGAGGAGGGGAAAATTGGGATGAATTATCCTTAAGTTAACTGACGAAAAACTTCGTTTATCAATGTTTAAATACTATATGTTGTGTGGTCATTTACAAAGGGGCTTTCGGCTCTTATGCATATGAACAGGTGTTACTCTCAGGCCTGAGATGGCCACAATTTCGCACTATTTTGAAGCATTGTGACGAGCCGTATCCTTCAAGTGCCCATTCTTTATGCTTTCTGATTTACCAAAATTGTTAGACCAAGTACCTTTGCAACCTAGGTTTTTAGCTATAATTATTCAAGGTCTACTGGTGGTATCGAAATCTACTCAATCCGAATATATGCAATGCAGTAAA